GTCGGCGTACTTGAATAGCTCGGCTAACAAGCGTCACCTCCAGCAGCCTTGCTGTTTTTAAGCGACGTAATTGCTATTCGTACCCATGGTTGCCAAAATTGGTAACTTTCTACCAAAATTGGTCACTTTTAAGCGGTTTGGTAACTTTTATTTCATTTTGGTAACTTTTTCAACCAAACATCTATTACTAATTAATTATGTTTTTCATGTGCGTATTTATAAAAACCCTTCGAGTTTCAGTGGCAGTACTACTGACACTTCTACAAAATTACTTCTACAAAATTACTTCGATAAAATTAGAGTCATCTCCTATTCGAATACTGGAAATATTTGAATTGCAGTGGCAGCACTACGGGCTACACTTCTACAAAAAAAAATCGAATTTTTGCGATCTCACATTTTAATACTGGAAATACAGTTTGGGACAGTAGTTCAGTAAAAATGGTATACAAATTCGGCAATCTGGCAACTTTCCGGCACACAAAAAAAATGTCGCGTGCTTTTTACCAGACCCACCTACCGAATGTATTTCGACCCACTGGATCCGAATCTGAGGTCCATTTGACACGTACCGTACACCGAAAAAAATAGCAAAAAATTGGCAATTTTCGCAATTTACTCGAAATTTTATACGCGTCAAAAGGACGGTTAAAAGCACCCGAAACTTTTTTTTGTGGGCCGGTGCTATTATTCCGTGAGTCGCAGGTTCAAATATCGGCACATTCCGAACGAAAAATGACACTGAAGATGGCACAACGCGGAAACCGGTTTTGTCTCCAAACCAAATTTGGCAAGCGATGACGGAAAATCGTTCCACATTACATCATACTCCTACGCTGTCGAAAAGACGAACAACGAAAATGAAAATATCGGCACATGCAGTAATTATTTTCTAATAAAAAAAATATTATAATTGTCAATAGGATTTTCAATCTTGATATTTTTTTTTAGAAAATAGATTTGAACTTCTGTGCTAGAACTGAGAGCTCTTGATATATAATCAAAAATTGACAAATTATAAAAATATTGAATTTATTACATAAGTGCACAGATTCTTGCTACATATATGCACAGTATACAATAAACCAGCCGTTGACAATATGCTTATTTGAAAATTAATACATGAAATATTGTGAATGTATAGGATTTTTTGTTCATTTACCCATCCCAGTGGGAATTAGGAGCACGTAATAATACCTTATTAGCAACTTACTCTTCACCTGGCAGTCATTACCATTTCCCTGCCGAACGTCCCTTACTTTTACAAAGGCATGGCCGCCTTATGTAAGTAGGAATTTAGAATGTACATTTGGTATCAGACATACTTCTGAGCTGCTTTACAAAGTAAGTTACTAGTAATGCAGAGCAGTCGCTCGGAGTAGTTCGGTGATTGGAAATAACTTCGGCTGCACGTTATTTTGCAACTGACAACGTAATGTGTCTTCGGAGGTGTTCATTTTGCCCTTTACTAGTAGATGACATTGGCCATGATGACAATTTTGGTACTAAAAACTGAAAGAAAACATGGCTTACCTCGCAGGTGCTTACCTATTTTCCCAGTGGGATAGGCAACGACTGATGCAAAAGTACCCACACACGTTTGTTCATATATTTGAAATGTAAATTTGAACAGAAAAATTCGTAAAAAAAAATAATAAAACAAAATATTTTTGATAACTTCGTGGGAGGTTGGCGTGGTTATTGGCAGATTTCGCCAAAATTTAACACTAACCTAAATTATACCAAAGGCAACTTCGAGGCCGACTTTCGTTAAAATATCTAAATTTTGTTGGAGTTAGCGTGTTTACAAACAGAGAGGGCTGAACCAATTCGTGTTCTCATTCCGAATATTTTGATATATATGTATGCATATGTGTATATATGCACATACATTTTATACGGTTCACAAAAGCGTTTACTTATCTGCATAAACCGTCTTTACTTGCATTAATTCATGCATTATCCTCTTTCAAATGTGAATAAGCGGCATTTTGTGCATTTGAAAATTAGAGTTCGACCTTAAGCAAAGTAATACTTGTTTTACCGCCTAATCGATGGGACCATTTTACAAAGTCAGCCCACCACTATTCACTCAAAGTTTTGTTCGGAACACGGTTTGACTTATATAGGAACTGCATCCGGTATAATCGCTTACGCTTCACGCTTGATTTGCTTGGAATTGGGTTTTTCTCGTTGTTTTATTTTATGTGACTTGAAAATATTTTTCAATATAAGGAAATATTTAAATTGGATTTCATTTGGGTTAACGAAAACGACAACTGTGAAAAATTATCAACGAATACATTCAAACAAAATGTCAAATAAGCATATTTACATTTTTTGTTTTGGCTATCTGGATTACTGTATACTGTGGCTGTATGTAAGTATATTCAGTAAGTTTTATTCAGTATATTTTTTTCTCAGTGCAGAAGTGAAAATTTTGGTAGTGAAGATTTGGTAACTTTTGGTAACTTTTCTTAAGAAAAAAATTTTGACGTGTGGCAACCATGTTCGTACCTTGTCATAGCCAGGCGCTGGGACATCGATTCCATCGTCATCGAAATAGGATAGAATAGAGGCGAAACCCGAAAATGAGGACCCTAAATTAATAAATATTGTACAAGCAGCAGGAAGAAAAGAAACATTGTTAAGTAAGCAAGGCCTGCCTGTACCAAACCGCTAAATGGTTTTGACAGTAAACGAAGCATATCCGCTTTCTAAAAAGGAATTCAAGGATTCTGAAATTAGCAAAACAAAATTTTATGCGAGCAGACCAAGATCAACGGAAATAAGCTCAACTGACACTANCGCGCAAATGGTTTTGACAGTAAACGAAGCATATCCGCTTTCTAAAAAGGAATTCAAGGATTCTGAAATTAGCAAAACAAAATTTTATGCGAGCAGACCAAGATCAACGGAAATAAGCTCAACTGACACTATTTTGCATACTGGTGCGAAATAAATTCAATTGACATTATTACCTTTTCAAAAGCGAAATAAAATCCTTTGACATTATTGCTCTTTCAAACATTAAATTTGCGTAGATTCGCGGCGGCTCACGTACGCGCGCCACAACGCGTCGCACTCCGCCGCGCCGCCCTTGTGCCAAATTTTTGTTGACTTCATTTCGCGTTTGGAAAGGAAATAATGTCAACTGACTTTATTACGCACCAGTATGCTAATTAGTGTTAATAGTGTTATGCACTTACCACATAACATTTGTGGAAAATATTTTTATTGGTTTCAGATAGGTATTGATGATGACTACTCATGACAAAAAATGTGTATTCATTCAGAGCCTACTATGGTATTTATGATGAAAAAAGTGTTGCCAAACGGAACGTCCGTAACGCAAGAAACACCCATATACCCACACATAGAGTCTTTCTTAGATTAAAATTTCATCTCTTATATAAATGAAAAAAAGATATCAAATTAAGCATATGAACCTTTTTCATGTCAAGGATGAATAAATTTTTCAAAGGGATAAAAATAGGGCTAGTAGCAATTTTAAATTTATGTGGCCTAAAANATATGAACCTTTTTCATGTCAAGGATGAATAAATTTTTCAAAGGGATAAAAATAGGGCTAGTAGCAATTTTAAATTTATGTGGCCAAAAAGAGTATAAGTATAAATCTAGCCACCAAAGGGCTAAAACGGCAACACTGATTGCCAGAACTTTTTGGACCAACCGGCTAAATTGAAAAAAAAAATATCGGCTAAACTGTTTCAACTAAATTTCACATGTTTTATTCAAATATATCACAAGTACACTCTAAAAAAAATAGTGTAATTTTACGTGCTAAAAGGTAGGTTACTGATTTCCTACCTTATTATTCGCGAAATTACATGCTCGATTATTCAGCGAATAGTTTGTTTAAATTTCGGCAAAAAATGTTAAAAAATTTGCGTCAAAAAGAACGCGAAATTAAATGCCAAATGTGCTATATTTAATCCAAGAGTGTTTAATTTAACACCAAATTGGTTTAAATTTCAGCAAGAATGTTTAAAACTGTGTACTATAATAACGCGAAATTTAATCTCAAATGTGTAATATTTAAACACATGAGTGTTTAACTCTAAGCAGAAAGTGTTTAAAAATGTGTATTAAAAGTACGCGAAACTTAATCCCAAATGTGTAATATTTAAACAAATGCTTGTTTAATTTTGCACAAAATGTGTTTAATTTTCAGCAGGAAATGAATAAAAATTTATACTAAAAGTACGCAAAATTTAATCCCAAATGTGTAATATTTAAACTCATGAGTGTTTAATTTTACACAAAATGTAATTAGTACTCAGCAGAAAATGTTTAAAAATGTGTTCTATAAGTACGCAAAATTAAATGCCAAATGTGTAGTATTTAAACACAAGAGTGTAGTATTTAAACAGAAGTAGTTTCACCTTAAAATAAAATAAATCCGGAAATATTTTTTCATTTTATATACTAGTTATGTACATATTTTGTTTTATTTATTACATATGGGTTCATTTTATATTGTTCATTTCATATCAAAGTTTAGCTCATTATGTAACAAAGATCACATAAATCCATTGAAATTACTGAACATTAAACAAATATGAGAAAAATAGCCAAAGTTGGTCAAAAAGTCTTGTTTCTATTATTTTGATCATATGAATACACTTTGCAAAAACATATGGCTTAGGGTAACAGAAATAAGTTATTATAAATTAATTCATTAATTCATTTTATATAAAAGTTTAGCTCATTATATAAGAAAGACCACATAAATCCATTAAAATTAATGAACATTAAACAAATAAGATAGGGTTAAAATATAGGGACACGACATTTTGAAATTTCAAATTTTTCTACAAAGTTTGAAATTTGGACTTTTAGCTTTTGTTACACAATGAGCTGTATTTTTATAAAAAAGAAGTTATGAACATTAAACATGCAATGAAAATATAGCCAAAACTGTTCAAAATGTCGTGTCCCTATTAATTTTCACATGACTGTACGTGTACGTATTTACATATACACTTACATATATACATATGTACATATGTATAACTTACACACGAAGTTTTATTTAAATCATTTAAAATTGGTTAGCTTGACAATTAAATTATTGACCTCCTGTGAATTATTTGTTTTTCTTCGCAACTCGAGTACAGGGCGGATAATACTTATACAAATTTCTTACAAAGAACTCCATTGTTTTCTGATATTTCCGCAGGAAAAATTAAATTACATAAATACATAGAAAATGTGTATGATTTGTTTTAAAAAGGGGAGAAGTGTTATCGCTCCAGTATTCTGAAATATAATTGTTTTTTCAATAAAGAGATATGTTATGTAATTGTCTTCTCCGCCATTTTCTGAAAATAAAATAGAAAATGTTTAATATAATAATTTATATATATGTATGTGTATTTTAAAAAACGATATAAAAATGGGATTTATATTAAGCAGTTAAATATTGTATACTTTTTTTTAATGTGTTCAAATTACATGAGTGCAAAAGAACTTACTAACAAATGCAATAAGCGGAGTGTTAGTTGGAATTCTGCCCACAACTTCTTGCAGTGTTGTTCCAATCTGAAACAAGTAACAATTAAGGAAGTTGGTTGTTTATTGCATATGTACAAAAAGGTTCTTAATGTTACCTCAAAGATGTGGAATAAATAACTTTCATTTTCATTGAAGTATTTTAGAACACTTCGTATTATTATGTTTTCAGAGCATTCTTCTTTTTCGAAGTCTTTCTTAGTTTCCTTGTTATACATGGTTTCGAAAAACTTGAGTGTTAGGTCCTTGGATTCGTTAAAGTTTTTTAAAAAGGAATCTTCCTTAATTTTAGTCGATTGAAGAAAATGCTGAATCAAGCATTCTTCATGGAAAATGTATGGCCAGTTTTCTTTTATGGTAGCTATCGAAGGGACTGGATCCATTTCATTAAATTCTTTCCGTTGTAGTGGGAAACAATCCCTAATGTACATATAAAAATATCCCTCGAAAATTTTATTTAAAAATTGTAATGTAGTTGATTGATTTATCCTTATTAATACATATGTGTAAACTAAATGGTTCCATTTGAAAAGACAATCTTAACTAATAGCCAAATATAAATTTAGTTTAGTAAGTAGAGTGGAGTACTAAACTTACATTTTTTGAATTGTTTTCATGCAAATAGAGGAATATTAACACGAAATCGACACCTGAGAGGAAGATCGACGTATCCTTATCTCAGCACATTTTCAATACATATTCATTTGAGGTAGGTCGTTTTTGAACCGAAATCTGAAATAGGGCCTCCTTAAACCAAATTCTGGGATAGGGTGTTTTTCAATAAAACTCTGAAATAGGACGTTCTTCAATAAAATTCTGAAGTAGGGCGTTCTTGAAAAGTTTTCTGATATAGGGCGTTCTTGAAAAGTTTTCTGATATAGGGCGTTTTCGAACTGGCTGCCGAGATAGGTCGATCTTCCACTCAGGTGTCGAAATATGACTACTATTTTCTTATATAAAAAAATAATAAATGTGAAGTAAATACATATCGTCGCCCTTATGCCAGAAGCATGAATGTGCAAATTTATCAATTTTGAGTTATTGGGTTGACTTGATTAATCTTTGGATGTCCTATGTTATACCAAAACCCAGAATACAATGCGTACGCGGAAACCACATATTTCACAATGTCAATTACATGAATGCAGAGTTAAGTCTCGTAAAAAAATTCAAACTTGATTTTCCAAAATTTTAATTTCTACACATTCATGTTTCTGGCACGATATGTACTTGCCGATTTGTTTACAAAAATTATTTAAAAATCAGACGTCTCGGTTGCACAGCAAATCGGTTAATCGTTTCTGCAATTATTTCACATAGATTCTCTAAAACAAATTTTCGATGTAGGCTTAAAATGCAAAAACTTAAAGGTAAATTTTATAAGAAATTAAACTGACAATTTATGAAAACTAGTAGTAACCCCCGAAATTCAGGTGAATGCAGTAATTTAAGCATATGGGCAAATTTAAAAAATATGTACACTTTCAAAATAAAAATTTTAATTTTTAAATTTGTGAGCACACCTTTATTTTATATATCATTTTTTATTTATTTATTTATTTATTAATAGGCAATGTATTACACATCTAAGACCATGTCTTTTATAGTGCATCCGACGAAATAGTAACAAAATATTATTACATATACATACATATTAAAAAAACTAAGCTAAGTAGAATTGGAATAATAAATACATACAACAAAATTAATCTTAAATACATTAGACACTAATAGTATACATAGGCAGGGTAGAGATTGTTAGAAAAGATAGTGGGAGAAAAAATAAAAAGAAGTAAAGAATTAAAAGATATTGCAACCACTTCCATAGCATTACAAATCATTGTACACGGTCAAAAATTTGGGTTTAATTTTTAAACCGCGCTGGGACTACTGCCTTTTTTAAACTTTTAAGTCTACTTTTTAAACCAGTCAAAAGTTTTACGCAATTTTTAATATATTCTGGTTTAAATTTTAGCCCAAAAAGTTCGTGGTTTAAAAATCAAACCAAAATGTTTTAATTCTGTTTCTAGATTTCAAATATAGAAAATTTGGTTTAAAATCTAAACCGAAATAGAATATGTTTGCCAACGAACTGTGGTGTTGATTCAAACTCAACATATGAAAGCACATTTACATGCGTGGCTGTAGCTGAGTGTGCAAAGGTGCTTGATACAATTGGTTGCTACCAAGGCTGTCCGGGTTCAATCCCAACCAGACGGAGCATGGAATTTAAGATTGTTTTTTTTTTATTCTTAATTATGAGAAAGTTTGGGTTTAACATTTAAACGGAATTGTTTAAATTCTAAACTCAACATATGTGCTCTCTTTTTTTTAAACTTGGAAGGTTTGTATTTGAAACTGAATTTAGTTTGGTCATATATGTAGTCCAAAAAGTTTAAAATTAAAACCGAAATTTTTAACCGTGTAGTAATTGTATATTACTGCTTTGTAGTTCCTTAAATTTAGTGCAGACTTGGTAGATTCCGGCAGAGAGTTCCAAAGCCTCGCAGCGTTAATGAAAAACATTCTAGAAGATGGTAAAAGGGTGTATCTTGGGATAAGAAGGCTATGATGTCGACTAGACTTGGTCAGTCGCAACTTTTCATACAAATAATTTGGAGATTGCAACGCAAGCAATCTATATAAAAATATACAGTTCCTCGCAGCAAGATAGTTCTCGATACTGCACCCCAGGATTTTATTCTTCCACAGGGAGATATGATCAGATTTGTTTAGTCCATAAACATATCTAGTAAGGTTATTGAACGCAACATTGATTTTGTAGGAGGAGATAGAGTCGAGTTTACTGTATACAGTCTCAGAGTACGTAATGAGGGACACTATGAGTTGCTTAGCCAACTTGCGCCTGGTATCTTGTGGTGTAAATGAGGCAGAGATCTTTAGACGACGTAACACAGCATACACATTACTAACAACTTTATTTACATGGTCACGACAATTCAACTTAGTGTTAAGAATGAATCCCAGATTTTTAATTTTATCGATAACACGAGAACGTTGCTACCAATTAATAACTCGGGGATATCTTCAGAGTGAATCACACTATTACTTATAGGGAGAACATAGGATTTTGTAGCATTTAAAGACAAACAATTATCACGAGCCCATTCTGACACCGCAGACAAATCACTATTAATTCTAAAACACAAATCTTCAATAAGACCAACACGACTGGACAGGTATAGCTGAATATCATCAGCATATGCATGTACATTTACATAACGTCACACAGAGAACACATCATTAACAAAAAGACTAAACAACAACGGTCCAAGAACAGATCCTTGCGGAACACCAGAAGCAATTACTTTTGACATAGAGAAAGTATCCCTACCTCTAACTCTTTGGGATCTTCCTTCAAGGTAGCTAGACATTAATCTTACAGCACTATCTGTAAAACCGAATAAATGCCTAAGTTTTTTACACAAAAGGCCATGATTAACTAAGTCAAATGCCTTTGAAAAGTCCAAAAGGCAAGAAGGGTTAGATTACCATTGTCAAGTTGTATTCTTATGTCATCAAGAATCTTCGTCATTGCAGTGGAACAACTATGCTGTGGCCTGAAACCTGACTGAAACGGTGACAGCAATCCTCTTTCTTGTATAAATGCCGAAATTTGTGTCGCCATTAACGATTCACATGCCTTTGAAAGAGCAGGCAATATGCTAACTGGTCGATAATCACAAGGACTATTAGCATTAGTCTTTTTAGCTACAGGAAGTATGATGGCTTTCTTCCAAATGGAAGGGAAGCACGAACTAGCAAAACAGTAATTTATAATATGAGTGATAGTACCCAATATAGATGGCAGCACAATTTTCATAAACTTAAGCGAAATTCCATCTTCCCCCACCGCATTTGACTTTATCCCCCTTACAGCCCGCAAAACCTCTCCTTCACTCACACCTACAAACTGAAATTTATTTACCAAATCACAGTCAGTCAGATTACATTCAGTTGAAGAGAAACTCATGCATCTGCTTGCACTAGTAAAAAAATTATTCAGAACATCAGGGTCCAAATCACACTTAGGTTTATCATTACCATGAACATTCAAGTTTTTAAGGTTGCGCCATAAGTCTCTGGAGGGAAGTGCTGCGTCAAGTTTATTCCTACAATACCAGCTCTTGGCCTGCCTAATGGTAGCCGTAGCTGCATTCCGTGCAGTTTTGTATTGAGACCAACGGCTTTCGGTTGGAGTTTTCCTCCACTTAGCATGCAGTTTATTACGCTTCTTTATTGCCAAGCAAACTGTTTTTGTATACCAAGGGCACGACTGATTGATTGCACGAACTGATCGAATGGGGACATGATTGTCAAAAAGTACAGTTAGAGTTCTATTTAAGAATTCAAGTTTTTTATCAATGGTTTCGCAATACCAACAATCTTCCCAACAAACACTAGACAGATAACGCAAAAGTTCATCAACATTTAAGGACTTAAAATCTCGATACGTAAAAGTGACATCAACAACAGGACGATTAAAAGCTACATCTAGTGAACAAAATATTAAGTCGTGGTCAGATATAAAAAATAGTTGGTCAAATTTGAAGACATGTTTAAGGTCAGACGTAATAAAGACATCTAAGAGACTAGGCTTTGCATTGTTAGCATATCTGGCAGGAACAGAATTATTGACTATAAGAAGTCCTCCTGCCCAAACATTGTCCAGTAGTTTATTGGTATAAGAGTCATTAACAAGCAAATTAACATTGAAATCACCACAAATTACATATCACTCATAATCAAGTAAGAACACAGATAACTCACCAAAAAACAAATCCAATAC